GAAATGCTTATTACAGCTGTGACTGTGTTCTTCTGTCGAAGTTCCTCTGTGGAAGGGAAATTCTGCTGCTGCCTGCTTTACAAAAATGAGCTCAGGGTTTGGGTACAAAACATTGCTCATTATAAAAGTACCCTTACAATGAGCTCTGTTGTCAATCCAAACCATAATTTACAGGGATGCAAATCCCTACTGAAACACAGTCCTGGTTTAAGGGACTGGCTGGTAAAAGCGTGAAGTAATGACCTGGCTTTTGTCAGAGATGATTTTTGAGGAGGTCCTTGCCAGAGTAGCTCATTTCGACCATTTTGAATTACCACGGTGACCAACATTACCCCTCACTCTTCCCAAGAGTGGTCGATAACGAACCCTGTGTCTGCCACATTTCCCTTTCTGTTCTCATTCACGAGCAAGCCGTGTTATTATTTGCTGTGGGTTTTTCTTTTTCCTTCCTTTTTTTTCTAATACTTTGGCTATGGGTAGGCCAACGGGCTGATTAATACGGCAAATATGTGTTTACGCCGGACACGAGTTATACATTAACGTGTTACGCTATATCTTAAAACAAAATGAATGGAGCAAGTCGAGGTTGGCTTTAAGGGGATTGTTTTACTTTGAACTGCCAAAAAAGTGCGCACACTGATTACGTCTCCCTCCGAATAACCCCGTAGATTTCAAAAAAGGCTGCGGTAGCACGACTGTCATGTTTTCTTAACGCTATTGCCTTCCTATGCAAAGTCAAATCTCATCGACTCCTGAGCAACGGACATTTGCGCATGAAACACTCATTTTCTCATGTTGTGAAAAATGACAGTAGTTTTTGTCGTTGTGCAAACTGTCTTGGCGAGGTGGGTATCTCACGTAAAAAAAATTAGCTTTCCCTTCCTAGGCTCAAAATCAATTAGAGTATTTTTCTGATAGTTGCCGTATAATTGTTCAAGAAAAAGTCAGAGCGAGCTGTCAATATACCGGTATATAAGCAGAAATCCCCAAGGGAAAAAAACCGACGTGCAATTATCGTTTGCGTTGTAAATATCGGTGTAATTTGACAAGCAGTCGCTGTCAGAATAAGGAAGAAGTTACAGTGGCATTTTCTCCTCGTGATTACTACATAATTGCAAACGTGCTAAGCCTCTCGCCCCGTGGAAGTACACTAATTAGCAATGCCTTCAGGCGGTTATTGGCATATCGGCATTAAGGCAGAGAATTAGCTTGAACGTTGCAGGGAGGAATTAATGAAAATTATAGCTATATTGCGGGTACATGTAAAGTAACGAGCTTTTGTTGTTCAAAACCTGACCTTTGAATATTACCCGTTGGCACCAAAAATCAAAGATTTTGTCGGAGGGAAGGTAGGAATAAAAGGGTATTTTAGCTGACATGCTGGTTGGCAATGATGAAAACCATTAAGTGTCTGCCTACAGTTGCCTTAATCATATAACTTGTTTACTGCAACATCCGGCTTTCAGGTTTTATTGTTTAACATAGGATAACGACACTATCTACTGTCTATACACTGTCATTTCAAGCTTGGGACGGATTTCTGTAAAAGTGGTTTGGTAAGATTTCTGTGGTACCTCGGCGAAAGCAACTTACAAGGCATCACGCACTCGAATGGAAATAGCCATAAAGAGAACGCGTGCCGTTGGGCATACTAATCTTAAACAAAGCAAAATGACAGCAAACGCGTCTCGTCACAAACGATGCTGTCCGTGGTGAATGTCTGGCACTGTTTACATGTACATGCAGTGGCATACCGTTCGTCATAAATAGTGGTTTGACGTTTTACAATTACCACAATGGCATCTGTTCTCCCATTCCCAGTGGCTGGAATAGAGCCTAAACTTTCACCACATTACCAACTGTGTAGGGACAAGACTGCAGCGAGAACCCTGAAATCAATTTCAGTAGTTTCACATTCTAAACTGACCTTACAGTAACTTCCATCCTCAATATCTCCTTCCTTGTTTTTCATTGCTTAGAAATGTGAGACGTGAAAGCAGAAGACCTGTCGATCCCTCGTAGCCGCGGAACTGGATTGCCGTGACCTAATACGACAGCTTTTGTTTATTCTGTACACCCAATTAAGCGACAAGCAATCCTATTTTATTACCCCCACAGAGGTTGGCAAAATATGCTGGCATTGATCAACTCTGTTTATCCAGTGAGCAAGTGTTAGTTATTTCCATTCCCCGCGGCGAGTAATGGAAATGAAAAAAGGGGGAAAAGCCCGTTTCCTCGTTGTCGTCAGAATATTTGTAATTGCCTACACCGGCAATGCAAATAGACCGACATACTCTGCGCGCTGTTGGCGTCAGAAATATTCTGTTCAGTTTGTCTGCAATGAAGCGAAACATCCCAATGTAATACTGTGACGGAGGCCATCAGTTCAATTGGTGCACACTGCATCAAGCAGTCGCAGCAAGAAAACTAGAGTCTTGATGGATGACAGGCAGGCTGATGTTATCAACCGCCAATTGGTAAGCAACCGCCAACACTGCAGTATACATGTGTTAGCAACAGTTGTCGCACTCACAAAGGTGTACAACTTTTGGCAAACTACGAGTTGCGCAATTCCAGATTATGCGCGCGAAATGTGCAGAAAATACCGTCCGGTTCTTTTCAGAGCCGTACACACTCACAGAAGAGATTTTTTGGCATGGCGCTACCGCTGAAGTATGACTAAAAATGTGCAAGTGTCAATGGACACAAAACACCTAAAATAAGATACGCCCATGTGAGAGACACTCCACCTGCTTACGGAAATTTTAACCTCACTACTTTTATACCGTTCTTAACACTGCCGTTGCTTTCTCTTCTTGTTCACTCCATCTTTGTTCATATTGGATTTTTGCTTTTGCCATTTACATAGCGATTTATTTCCCTTTTAGCAGCAATCTACACGCGTGTACAGTTTTGTTTGATTATTCTACTGTGCCCGTTCGTGTTGAACTTAAATAGCTGTTTGTCTTGTTTCTTCCCGGAAAGAAAGAAATAGGAGACCAAATTCTGTTGCCCAGCCTCACTTGCACGCGTAGAGTAGGTGGATTTTCGCTCGTTAAATAACCTGTTCCTCCAGATATTGAATTTGATAGAAATTAACCTTCCTCCATAAAGTAGGTTCCAATGAGGGGTGGGTAACTGGGTATGAATGACTACCCCAAAGCGCGGTTCTGCGGGGGACGATGGGGCATCTTGTATTTAGTCCCCCTCCCCAGAAAAATGAAAAAAATGCAAAGAAAGGCATGAACTGGAATCGCAATTCTGCATTTAATTTTTCAAAAATTTAATGAATAATATAAATGGTGACGTCACGTGCAAAGGTTCCTCCGCCCCCTCCCCTTCGCCGAAGAATTGGCTCTACAAGCATGGCTGACTGCGTCTGCAAAACACATCAATTATTTTGCATTTTCTTTGAAAATTTAGGACACGTGTTACGCTTTACGCACGCAACAGATTACAACCCAGGGAACAACTCCCATCTTGACCGGAAACAGCTTTGTCAACAATCATATCCAACAACATCGATCACACTGGAAAGCAATATCCTAGGCTATGGGGAAGTAGACCACGCTACCAAGACGGAATCTGGTTTTTGCAGATGATGGTGATGCAGACTCCACATATTACCAATATTCTGTTTGCTAGAATCCATCCATCCATGCTTTGGCCGGGCATACGACGTAAAGTGGTGTTGCAGTAAGGACTTGATACAGTTTAGCGCCTGATACGTTTCTCCAGTGTTTGGCGGGAAGCGGTCTTTGTATTGTAGCTGTGATCACGATGCCTTTCCCTCGTTTTTACCATAATTTCAAGGTTTTGCTCATACACTGGCGCTCACTCAAGATTTGTTTAAGGATGAAACCTGATGAGGGCAAAGCTACGGACTTCAGACTTTATACGGAGTGAACCTCGGCCAACAGGAAACCATTAGTCTTCAACACCATTGTTATAGGAACGTGCAAATAACACCTGCATGCAAAGAACCTCTCCGGCCGGCACGATAATTGGCACGCAAAATACAGCCCAATATGTCGTTGAAATGAAAGAACGCGTGCCACAGCTCATTCTGCATGCAGCGTGTGACACCCGAAACATGTTTTGGAGACTTGCCTTGCTTTCTGCGGTGCATAAATCATGAGATAAAATCAATACATTCATGTCCTGTGTGAGTGCTTGTGGTGAAACTATACGCCACAGAAACGGTAATAGCCGCGGAAGAGTAGAAATTGAGAGTTTTAATCTTGCAGTTCGTCGCCATGCAATCGTCGCTACTTCTTTATATAAATCGTTGGGATGGGGTATCATATAGCTTGTACCTCAAATGATCCCTGAGACCTAAACGAAGCCTAAACGTTGCTCTCTGTCGTACCGTTTTGTCTAAGAATGTTGCATGAAACCTGGCACAGCAATCGCTCTTATAGAAGGTTGCATCATCCAATGTTTCCGTGGTCAGTTACGATGTGAATGCTGCACCCCCGGAAAAAATCCTGTTAGCAGGCATGCCAACCAACACAGGTAACTTTAA